CAGCTCTTCATTTAAGAAAGCGATTTTCACATCCATTTGATGGATTTCAAGAATGTATATTGCAGCTAGGGAAATGGACATTCGAATTGATGTAACACTAGTCACTGGCGAGTATGTGGCAAAATAATCAAGACCTTCTTTTTGTCTAAAGCCTTTGACAACAAATCTTGGTTTATATTTGTCAATAGTTCCATCATCTTTCATTTTCCTTTTAAAAATCCATTTTGAACCCAAGGGTTTGTTTCCTGGAAAAAGATCAACCAACTCACAAGTATGATTGCTTAGGATTGATTCAATTTCACTATTGACAGTCTCATTCCAATAAGTTGAGTCACTAGACAACATTGTTTCATTGACTGTTTGAGGCTCACTTTCAAGAAGGAATGTTACAAAATTCGATCCAAATGAAGTAGTTGTCCTTTGATGTTTACTGCGCCTTGCACTCTCTTCATTTGTTTCATTCTTTTTTGGTTCTTCTCGGGGTTATTTAGACCCCCACTAGATGACTCAAGTCTAGTTTTATACGGATAGATATGTTTATAGATTTCATAAATTATTGTAATGAATATCTGGATGTTCGGACTTGTGAACCAAAAATCGACATGCCTTACAGTTTGTGGCATATCCAATGAATACACAATCCACAATTTTAGGCTTCATTTTTACTCTCTTAGATATAGGAACTTGAACTTTGGCTAAACACCCCCACACTTTGAACTATTTCAAGTTAGGTTTTCTACCTTTCCATTTCTCATATGGAATAACATGTGTCTTTGAGTGAAACACTATTGAGTATTCAATTTGCTGTAAGGATAACTTCCCTCCCACAAGTTTTGTGGTAAACTTGAACTTATAAGCAATGCATTCATCATTTCTTTTAAAGTTCGATTTTTCTGCAATCCCATTAGATTATGAAGTGTACGGAGCAGCAGCTTGATGGATTATTCCATCTTATAGTCCAGAAACTTTGCCACAATAAACTTCTTCATTCAAGCATCCTCTTTTTTGTACTTCTTTTCTAAAGCATCCCGGAGTTCTTTTGAGGTTTCTGCATTGCTGTACACATTGTACAGATCATCTTGCAGGCAACTTAGAATATAATTTTTACACAAAAAAATTGAGTGTGTCCATACTTCTGTTACCAAGAATCATTCTTCAGGCGGTGTATCATCCGATATAACAGGAACATTCTCATTAATGAACCTCTGCATACTCAACATAGTGATATAGAAGAAAATCTTCTATTTCCATCTGTTGAAGTCGACTCCAGAAAACTTTGCAGGTTTCTTGCTAAGGCAACAATTGAACGATTGTGTGCAACCGATGTTGTTGCAGCACTCACTGTTCCAGTATTCACTTGACTTGAATTAATTTTTTCTGTCACAAATGGCTGATTATTTTAGTATTTGAAATACTAACAGTATTACACAAATTGTTTCTGATTTAACAATAAAGTTTTTATGTTCTTTTAATCGTTAATCGAATGAATTTTAAAAATTCAAGAAGAGTAGAAAATCATAAAGGTTTTAATCTCCAGAAACCCCAAATACAGAAACTTATTAAATTTTTTAAGATTGTTATTAACCTGTACTTATAAGGTTAGTCAAAACAGAAACAAAAATAAGATGAAGTAGACAGAAAATAAAATAATTAGAGTCCACAGATTTTACTGTGTCTCCTTAAGAACTTAAATCTGCTCACTGTACCCGAGGTTACGGATTAACTTCTCCCAAGATAAAACGGATTAATTCTGTTAATGAAATAGCGACACCTCAATCTTCTTTAACTTTAGCGAACTGAAGAACAACAACAAGTCACACACACTCAGTCGACCGGTACTTTGGTTTTGAGAGAAAATATATGTAGAGAAGAAAAAAAATTCAGTGTTTGAAAAAACGAAAAATGACTTCCTTTTATAGCCATTTTCGGCAAAAAACGTATTTGTTCAGATGTCCGAAAAATTTATCAATTAAACCATTTGTCGAAGCCGAAGGACGACGGCAGCGCAAGGGGCACCTTCATCTTAGCTATTTTAGAAGTAAAAGAAGTGTTTCCTTATATAAGGACAACAATTTTCCTTTCTTTTATTGATATGGAAAAAATGACTTTTCATTTGCACTTTGCAAATGATTTTCATTTTCTCTCTTAATTGATTCCGTGACTTTTCCATATTCTTTTTTTCTTTTCCAATTTACACTTTGCTAAACCCAACAACTCCTACCTACGACTCCTAACATACAGGTAGACACACCTTCTCAGTAGTGTTGCCGAGCTCCACTTCTTTCGAAGTTGTCAAATTTAGAGATTTATAAATATTTTATTGTCCTTAGATAAAGAAGGGAAATCAAATTGTAACAAAGATTTACAAAAATGAAAAAAAGAAATCCATATTATATTAAAACATCTTTAGAGATGTTGATTAATCTTTTGCTCTTATAAAAAGACTATATAGTATTTTTCTTTTTAATAGTTAGAAAGTAATTTAATTTATTTTTCAATATTTAAAACTTTAAACCCTACTAAATATTGTGCATTAATTGTTTTTCCTTATTTGAGTTATTTAATATGACGTATTTTTTTAGAAAATTAATCGTGACAATTAACCTATTAGTTCTTTTTAAATATTTTAGGTAATGTTTTGACCTCATTCAATTTCTTTTAGACTTAGATTATCTATATATAGAAAGAGAATTTCTTCAATACATTTGACTCATACATGAATATTAGTTTGATTTTGAAATTTAAAAATGGTAAAAACTTTAAATTAATTTTTTTTGAAAGTAATATTTATTTTATCAATAAGTTACTTAATTAGATTTTAGATCCAGACGCTTAATTCATTTTCTTTTACAAAATTCGTTCATTTTTTGTCATTTTTAACTATACATAATTTTAGCATGCTTTTACCCATAATTTGATATTCTTCTTCTTTTCCCCCTTCAAAAGATTTGTCATAGTTTGTAAGAACCAATATCATGCATGATCACAATTAAATGAAAAATGAAGAAGGTGAATGTCGATGTATTTTATATTTAGAAGGTAAGATGTTAGTATTTCTTTATATTCCACTTAATTATGATTATGTATCTGATCTTTTATATTAACATTCTCACCATAATTTTTATATTTTTAGTTAGTCTATACAGCCCGTCAGAGTAAAAATAATCATAAGAAAATAGACAAAATATGAATTCCTCATTTTTTGAACACTATTGAATATATATAAAAAAGTAAAAAAAAATAGGAGTAATATTTAACATAGAAAATACCACAGCATCATATTTTATGCCTTATTTATATAAAAAAAATTTTTTATTAATATTTATGCAACTCTAGTCAACGATCAAATCTTTCTTAGCCAAAGAGAAAAAAAAATAGCTTATTTAAATTTTTATTATTAATATTTACTTAACTCTAGTCAACGATCAAATCTTCCTTGGCAAAAAAAAAAAGAAAAGGAATAGCTTATTTTATAGAGTTTGGAGCCTAAATGGTAGAAAATATTAACAAAAATTCCTAAACGGTATATAAAATTTTATATTAATCAAAACGGTAAAATCGCTGCACCAACAACAACTTACTCCACCGAAAAAAGAAAAATCGCTGCCTCTGCATCGATTTTGCAAAATCTGTTTTTCTTTTTTAAAAAAATGAAATTGTTGCCTAAGCAGCGATTTATAGATTTTTTTTAAAAAAAATAAGGAAATCGCTGTCCCAGCGGCCAACAGCGATTCAATTTTTTTTTAAAAGAATAAAGAAATAGCTGCTGGGAGCAGCGATCTCATAATTTTTTTTAAATTAAGGAAAGAAATTTTTTTTAAAAATAATTAAATCGCTGATCGCTGCCCCTGCAACGATTTCCTTAATTTTTTTTTAAATTTTTCATTATGAAATCGCTGCCATTTATTTTAATTTTTTTTATGAAATAGCTGCTCCCAGCAGCGATTTCTTTATTTATTTTTTTTAAATCGTTGCTGGGGCAGCGATTTTTAAATTTTTTTTCTCTATAAATTTTATTTTTTTTAAAAAAAAATTAGATTTTGCAAAATCGCTGCAGAGGCAGCAATTTTGCTCTGGTGGGTAAGTCGCTGTTGGTGCAACAATTTTACCATTTTGGTTAATATAAAATTTTATATACTGTTTTAAAATTTTTTGTTAATATTTTTTGGGCAACTTTCACATATAGCAAACAAAAAATTCATATTTGTATGCTATAACAAACTTTGCATAATTGCGCTCCATAGCAAACATAAAACTGTATAATTTGCTATACATATATAATTGTATAATTTGCTGACCTAAATTGTATAATTCGCTGGCATAAATTGTATAATTCGCTGACCTATTTCGCTGCAATTGTATAATTTGTTTTGCATACAGTTGACTCGAATTAAAATGTATGTATATTGCATAATTATAAGTGTATAACAAGAAGATATATATTTTTCTCGCTTTATACAAAAACAGAAACACAATATATACACTTCTGTTGTATAAAGCTAGAGAAAATTGTATTTCACTGCAATTGTATAATTCGTTGGCCTTTTTCTCCGCAATATTTGAAGTAAAATATTTGTAAATTGTATAATTAAGTGTATAAAGCGAGAGAGGCGAGTGAGAATGGAGAGTGACGAGCGAGATTTTTGGGAGAGAGACGCTAACAAGTTTTAGCTAATGTTTTTATGAAGCACAATTAAATCAAACCCTAACTATTTCATTTAATTTATATTATTAGTTTTCTATTATATATACAATTTTCCCTATTTTGTATCCTTTAGGCTTTTGGACTTTTATTTTAAAGCTTATTCAAGTTTTTATTATTATTAAAATCTCGATCAAATTTTTTTGAGTCAAAGAAAAGTGATGAGTTAGGGATGATTTGGACATTTTCTTTGGCAAAATATCTTACACCCTAAGCCCAATTACTTAAAAGCCCATGGACACCTAGCTTCTGCCGCCTATAAAATATGGGCTTTTCTGTTTAATTTTCATCGCATCTCTCATTTCAGATATTTTCATTAGGGTTTCTCTTTTCTGGTTTCTCAGTTCAGTTTAATGGCCGCCGAAGTTGAGTACAGTTGCTTCGTTGGTGGGCTAGCTTGGGCCACCACCGATAGAACACTTAGCGATGCTTTCTCTACCTACGGCGAAGTAGTCGACTCGAAGGTCCGTTTGTTGCAGAGCAGAAATCAGATCCGAGCCCATTTTTTGGTTTCGTTGATGACCTTCTGTTACTGATTACTATCTCTATCTCTGGTTTACTTGATTCATCTGTTACTGTTACTCTGTTTATACTGTTATACCATTCCTTGAAACGGTACGTTCCGTCTTCCTTCTCTTTTTGTCAAGAGATGAAGAAAGATCGGTTTTGAAGTTTCTGTTTTACTAATTATGTAGATCTATTATGCCTGAATTGTTTCGTTATTGTTTTTGTTTTTTTTCAGATCATTAATGACAGAGAAACTGGTAGATCTAGAGGATTTGGCTTTGTTACCTTCAAGGATGAAAAATCCATGAAGGACGCTATTTCAGGAATGAATGGTCAGGAACTTGATGGCCGTAACATCACTGTTAACGAAGCTCAAGCACGCGGAAGTGGAGGTGGTGGTGGTGGTTTCGGTGGTGGAAGACGACGTGAGGGAGGCGGTGGCGGCTACGGAGGAGGCGGCGGAGGCTATGGAGGAGGCGGCGGTTACGGAGGAGGTGGCGGTGGCTACGGAGGTGGCAGACGCGAAGGAGGTGGTGGTGGAGGCTACGGAGGTGGCCGACGTGAAGGTGGCGGCGGCGGTTACGGTGGTGGTGGCGGTTACGGTGGTGACCGTTATTAGATTGATAGCTCTTAATTAGGCCTATGTTTTATGGCCTTTATAGATTAGTTTTAATATCCATACTGGTTTAAGTGTGGTTTTAAGTTATTTGCTCTTATATTTGGTTGATAAGATACTGTGAATCTGTATTTTGCGAAGTTCCATGGAATCAAGTAAAAGCATGTTTGCGACCTGCGTCAATTCTCCGTTTCAAAGTTTGATTCTGGTTAGATTACGTAATTGTTTTTTTGTTAGTTGCTTAAAATTATATCTTAGCTAACTAATTTATCTAAAGTTTATGGTAAATAGCTCATTAAATACGTCAAATAACTATATTTTCTAAATATTTTTTGTAGTCTTTAAGTTCAAATATATCAAACTTTTAAGTCTTGACTAAGTTTATTACAATACTTGAAATTTTGTACCTTTTGTTTAAATCTTATGAAAACAAAGCACATAATATTTAATAAAATATATATTACAAAAATGGTGTTTTTCAAATATCTACTTTGGTTCCTTTAAACAAAGATTTATATATATTCAAAAGTTTAAGTATTATGCTTATGTTTAGTAACGAGTTAAATCGTTTTTCATCTAATCACCAGTCTTAGCTTATAAGTTACTTGTAATGTAACGTATTTTCTGTATATTAACTAATTTTTATTAAGAATTTGAAGTATTTCAAATAAATTAGAACTGTATTAACTAAAAAGTACTCCTTTTAATTTAGTATAACTTACATAAATATAATATAAAATCTAAATTACCTTCTATCCCTATTATTTTTATAATTACATAAATCTCATATTTTTTAGACATTTCAGATACATAATTTAAACTGTAAAATCAATTTAAAATCTCATAATATCCGTTTGTTCCATTAATTAAGGGAAAAAACTGAAAATTAAATTAAGATTCCACAAATTACCTTATTTCATTCAAAATTATTATCAAGAATTCAAAATCATGTAGTGTAACAACCCAAAAAAATCAAAACATTAAATTTCTTCTTCTTGTTGATCGTTCTCTCTGTTTCATAAAAAAATGTCAAAATTTTGAAAAGCGGGATGAATTATGAAGGACTATATGGAATTGTGGTTGGACAAACGATTTCTTTTGTAAATCTTCAAGTTGATCGAATATCTTTTCGATTTTGATTCAAGATTATCGAAAATATTGAGATTCTAAGTTTTTCTCCAGTCATTGAAGATCCTTTCCATTTTGATTCAAGATTATCGAAAATTTTGAGATTCTAAGTTCTTCTCCAGTCATTGAAGATCCTTTCCATTTTGATTCAAAATTGATGAAAATTTTGAATTTCAAAATTATTCTCTTAGTTCACTGAAGATTCTTTCAATTTTGATTAAAAATTATCAAAATTTTCGAGAAGATATATCATGAAGACCCTTTCAATTTAAATTAATAAGTGTTGTATTTCTACTAGGTACACTAAATAAGAAAGTATTGCCCATAAAATTTTAGGTTTGAGATCAATACATTATTATTTGGCAATTGTTATGTTACAGATACATTTAGTATAAATTTAAATTTACGTATCATAACTAAAAAATTAGTGAATGATATATTATTATTTATGTATGTTCTTTTGTTTGGGATCATGAAGATCCTTTCAATTGAATTGATAAATATTATATTTTTACTAGATACATTAAATAAGTAAGTGTTGCCCCATAAGATTTTAAGTTTGAGATCAATACATTATTATCGATAGATTATTGTTTGGTAATTGTTATGTATAAGATACATCTAGTATAAATTTAAATTTACGTATCATAACTAAAAAAATAGTGTTTGATACATTATTATTTATGTCTGTTATTTTATTTGAGAACTACAACACTTTAAATATTTTTAAAAATACATTATAGTAATTGTTTGAGATCGATACATTATTGTTTGGTAATTATTATGTATCAAATACATTTCGTATAAATTTGAATTTACATATCATAACTAAAATAAGCGCTGATACATTAATCGTTAAGTAAGATATATTACATTTTATACATGATACATTAATCTGATGCGTGAGATACATAAATTTGATGCGCTGATACATTAATTTAATGCACAAAAATGAGGGATTCTGAAAATTTGTAAAACAATAGATTTAAAGCTCGAGCATGTGTCCTTTCTCAATTTCTTCGCTCACAAATGTATCACGAATATAGTTTGATATTGTGTACGAAAACATATTCTTCTAAGTTTGAATAACCGTAGAGGGTACATAGCAACACTTGATACATGATAAAATGATATATTTGGTAGAAACTACTTCTTTTCATTTCATAATGTAGTTTCACCAGCAAAAGAGGATCTCCTAAAATTGATTTTTTTGCAGGAAACAATATGAATACATTATATCTTTTACCTTTCCCTTATACATATTGTGAAGGTGAAAATGGAGGAAAATGCAATAATTCTTTGGAAAAAATTATAAAGCGAAATCTGGAGTTGTTTTGAAAAAAATTGTGGAGAGATATTATTGAAAATAGAGAGAATTAAATATGAAAATTAAAAAATTAAGGAAGTAAATATTGAGGGAGTGAAAATAGAAAGAGATAAAGTGAGTAAAAATAGGAAGAGGTTGAGGGAGTGAAATAAGGAGTAAAAATAGAAAGAAAAACATGTATAACTTTATGTATCTGGAACAATGGATTTGAAAGGAAAATGAGGGATTTTAGAAATATTTTTAAATGATAGGGAATAACAGAAATTATGGAAAAATAAAAATGTGTATATAGATTATTTATCCTTAAATGTATCCATAATTTAGTTAATATTTCTAAATTATTCTAAATGTAAACTTCAATAATTTTGAATTTCCTAATTCTCCAAATTGATTTTCATTATTCACAATTTTTACATAAAACAAAAGAAAATAATTAACTTTTGCGAAAAATAATTTATCTCAAATTTCAAAAATATTATTTAGTATAAGAATAATTTAAATTAATAAATAAATAATAATCTTTGTTAGAGTACCAAAGAAAATTAGAAAAAATTAAAATGATATAAATACATGTTCTTTTTTTTTGGTAGTAGTACCAAAGAAAATTATCTCAGCATCTAATTTTTAGTTTGTATACACAGCTACGGGTCACAAAAATTGAATTGACCAATAAATCGAATCGAAAACATGTTATTGTGTTTTTAATGGGTATATAAAAAAAGTTATTAGTTTATTGGTTCGATATCGATTTTTACTAATGGGTAATTGGGTAAATCGATAACCCAATAAGACAATAATAACTCAAAACTTTACCCTTTCTTAATATTAGATATTAATAATTTAATGTATAACTAAACATTATAATTATATCAAATTATTAGTACTCTATCAACTTCACACTAGGTTCGCAATTGTAGCTATTTGATTTTAGTTTTAGTCTTTCTGGACTATTTGATTTTAAAAAGAGCATAGAGTTATAGGTACACTAAAATCACCAATAATGAAGAAAAAAAAATAAAAAATAAAAAATATCAAACAAATTGAAATGAAAAAAGTAACATGAGTTAAATATCAGACTCATCAAGATTGAATTTGAATTTCCAAACTTTCCATGTACTCATCTTATATTCTACACGGTAAACAATAGAAGTTTGTAAAACTAACAAATAGCTACAATTGCTACAATTGCGAACCTAGTGTGAAGTTGATAGATTAGTAATAATTTGATATAATTATAATGTTTAGTTATACATTAAATTATTAATATCTAATTTTAAGGATAGAGTGAAGTTGATAGAGTACTAATACTTTTTTCTCTCCTCTATTCATTAAATTCTTCCAAATGATTGAGCGCGAAAACCTTGTGTGAAGTTGATAGAGTACTAATACTTTTTTCTCTCCTTTATTCATTATATTTATATAAAGTACATTTAAAATCAAATAGTTCAGAAAGATTAAAACTAAAATCAAATAGCTACAATTGCGAACCTATTGTGAAGTTAATATTCAAAATCAAAATGGAGTGGAGGTGTTTCACGCTCAATCATTTGGAAGAAGACCAGATAGCTATTCTTATGACAGACAAATCTACAGAAATTTGGCATAAAAGAATGGTCATATTCATTATCAAGGTATGATGTTCTATCAAAGAAAGGAACTTGTGAATGATCTATAAGCTTTTATACTTGGAAAGATGAACAGACTACCCTTCCCCAAAACAAATTGAAGAGCATAAAAAAAGCTTGAGCTCATTCACACAGACCTGTGTGGACCTCATAGAACACCATCTTTAAATGGTAGTCTTTACTATATTGTATTTATTGATGACATAATACAAGTCTGAGGTAGTTGATGTGTTTTGAAATTTTAAGGCAAAAGTGGAAATTCAAAGTGGCTGCAAAATTCATACTTTAAGGTGTGATAATGAGAAGGAGTACACTTCAAATCAGTTCAAATTACTTGGTGACAAAGTTGGTATAGAACGTCTGTTAACAGTCCCTTATACTCACAACAAAATGGAGTAAGTGAGAGAAATAACATAACTATAATAGAGATGACAAGGCGCATGCTACATGAGAAACATTTACCAAAAAAGTTCTGGGCGGAGGCTACCAACACTGCTATTTTATTTTGCAAAACAGACTTCCTTCTAGATTTGTAAAGGATAAAACACTATATGACGCATGGTATGGTCATAAATTCTCATTGAAATTTCTCAGAATTTTTGGCTGCTTATGTTTCTCTAATATACCATAGGTTAAAAGAGATAAGCTTGACAAGAAGGCAGTAGATGACATCTTTATAGGTTACAGTGTTTTCTCCAAAGCATATAAGGTCTATGAACCTCAAATAGAGAAAATTTTCGTAAGTAGAGATGTCCACTTCATTGAGGATAAGCACTGGAACTGGGAGAAGCTTGTAAATAACCCACCAGTTGACATGACAGTCTATTAGATCCAAACGATCTAGTAGATGATCCTCCTGTTAGAGGCATGCGGTTGATTTTTGGTATGTATCAGAGATGCGATACTGCAATTTGTGAGCCCTAAAGCTATGAGAAAGTAGAAGGGGATGACAAATGGGTGACAACAATGAAGGGGGAAATGATGATGATAAAAAAAAATCAGACCTAGGTGCTTGTTGACAAACCTCTAGACAGAAAAAGTATTTGTGTAAAATGGTCTTCAGGACAAAGATATATGCTAATGGTTTCATTAACAAACACA